TGGAAGTCAATGGAATGTCCCCAAATGTATAGCTGGGCGAACCTGTGTGTGTGTGTGTGTTTACCGCAGATCGCAGGGATTTGTTTTCGTCTTCCAAATCTTTTAGTTTCTTCTGTAAGGAGTCCAGGGGAAAACAAGTTGGAGCTGCAACATTCGTTTCACTGGGACGCACGCTGTGAACACAACATGTGAGCTGAGCTTTATTTTAGTTTCCTTCACTTTAATTTAACCTTCGCTGAAAGAAACAAAACATCTCAAGATGAACAAAGAAACTACTGTTCGAGGTAAAGACAATTATTCTCTGCCTGTTGCTGTGTACGGTGGACATCATGCAATTGTGTGTATGTGTGTGTGTAGATGTTTCTCCCGATAATTACTTTCTTAAAGTTTTTAATAAAATTCGTAGAAAGCAATCATTAGATGAACATCAATCAACCTTAAACACAAAAAGGTTTGGAGTCCTTTTTACAGAAGTTGATCTAAGACTCGGTGGAGTCGTATCTGAGAGACTAGAGCTTACAGACTGCAAGATGTTTGTTTACAACTCTGGCATGCAAAGTGGAGGGCAACAGGAATTTTTTAAAGACATTTATTGTTTTCTAGTTTTGACTGGAATTTTGCTGTAGAACTGGATCGCACAGAATTTGCTCAGGTGAGTAAACGTGGCAGGAAAACAGAAGAAAAGGTGTCTTACGGTGTGGAGGTGTTAGACTCTCCTTCACTCTCCTCAGCAGCGTTTGTGTAAAACTGCAACAGCTCATCTTTCATGGACAGGTCATGACGCAGCTGAGACACCTGCACGAGCAAAAATAGAAAAAGAAAAGTATGGTTTTGCTTTTGTTTTTTGCAAAAAAACGTGTTCTAGCACCTCCGAGACACCGTACATTTCAAACAACTACCAGGAAATGTTTACATGTGCAGACTTTTAAACAATAAGACCTTCACACTCCCAACATGGGTTTTACCTCCTCTCGTATGTGCTCTATCTGCTCCTCCAGTAGCTCATTCCTGTCGCTCAGAACTTTGTTCTTCTTCAACAGTGACTGTCCGATGCGAGCAGCTAACTCCAAATCTCGTTCTTTCTATTCAAACAAAAGCAAACAGTTTAACACTTTTAAAAAAAATGATCCAGGTGAGGAAGATCTTGGATTTTAGGACTTTTTTTTTCCTGAACTAGGATTTCTTCTGACTCTGCTACATGTTTCATAAAAAGCAATAAGCCTAATAAAGATCTCATCACTTGACTTTTCTAGCCAAAAGTAAACATTAGTCTCGCAACAGAAAAACTCTTTCCAGTTTAAAAAAATGTGAGCAGAAAATGTCAAACGAAGACAGAATCATGCTACAAATGCATCACTACCTTTTATCATAAAAGAACATTTCTGCTGAGCAAGCAAAAACAGACCTACTGGTGCAATAAAACCTCCCATAAGTCGACACCGAACTACATTAAAAGTTCAACCTCTGGAATACGAGGCAGTAAAAACAGTCAGCAGAAACAAATCTACAATCTGTTTTAAACATTATTAGAGGGTTGCAAAAGTATTCACATGCTTAAGTGTGTTCCCCTGACACACGGAATTTACGAGATTTATCACATGAATATCTGTAAAAACGTTTACAAAAGTATTTAAGATAAATTAAGTTAGATGGTAAAAAAAAGACTTTTTAAAAATCTGAAAATAAACTGGTGTTGGAATTTGTATTCTCCAAGAGCTGACTTTTAGTCCATTCTTCATGACCAAACTGCTGCCCTGTTTAAGTTGTATTGGTGCTGCTTGTGTCCAACAATCTTTTAGGGTGTATTCAGACCAGGAAAGTTCTTTGGTCCAATTGTTCGTTCCGGACCAAAAATGGACTTTTTTTTCATTTGGTGCGGTTTGCATTCACATTGTGCTTTTTTGCAAATGAACTTTAACTTGTAAACAAAGCCACGAGTGTGACGATCATTGCTCCCATTGGACAAACAAAGGATGGGGGCGGGACTGAGCCACAGATCCAGAAGAAAACAAGGAAGTCCTGCATGCTGCGGTTCTGATGCACACATTTTTGCTGATAGTACAACTGCAATAGCATTTAAAATGTCAGAAGCAGCTAATTTAATGGTGGTTCCGTGATGACATTCTAATTTTCGAGCGGCGTCAGTAGATGTGTCCCGCAACCCAAAGGAGACGAGGTGCTCTGCGTGTTCTGACCCACAACATGCCGGCAGTAGAGCTGCTAACAGGAGACGACGAAACARGTATGATTTCAGTTTATTTAGCTCAGCAACGGAGGCCTGTGAAGTCCAAAAAGGTGCATGTTTTATGCAGTTGGTTCGCTTAGAGTCTGGTCTGTATTCACACCAGAAGCAAACTGAAGCGAACCGCACCAGAGTTCGTTTGGAAGCAGACTGAGACCACCTCAAAAAGCAGGTCTCGGTCCGGTTGTTTGATCCGCACCAGAATACGCATGAGTGTATTCACACCTGCACAAAAGATCCGGACCAACGCTTTAAACGAACTCTGGTTCGTTTAAAGCGGAGCAAATTATCAGGTCTAAATACGACCTATATCAAAGCAAAGGTTCTGAATTGAACAGAGTTCTGGGATTTGACTGGACCATTCCAGGACATTTGGCTTTTTGTCCTGAAACCACTGGAGTGTTGCTTTTTCAGTGCGTTCAGGCTCAATGTCCTGCTGGAAATGAATTCCAGTCTGAAATTTCTGCCTTTTAACTCTCATTAAAAATGTTACCAGGACCGCCTTCTTCCACCTGTGTAATATCACTAAAATTAGAAACATCTTGTCAAAAAATGACGCAGAAAAACTGATTCATGCATTTATCACGTCTCGACTGGATTACTGTAATTCTTTATTATCTGGGCATCCAAAAACTCTTTAAGAAGTCTTAAGTTAATCCAAAATGCTGCTGCTAGAATTTTAATGAGAGTTGGAAGGAGATATCATATTTCTCCAGTTTTAGCTTCTCTCCATGGGCTCCCTGTCAAATTTAGAATTTAAAATATTATGGTGCGTTCACACCGAATGCGATTTCAGCGTCAGGAGCAGCAGGTTTACATACAAAGTCTATGGTGGACGCGCTTCAAGCAAC